CACTTACACATTTAAATGAAAAGGAACCACACAAATAACATCAAATATCTACTCTTTCTGTCTCCCAGTCTACGAAATGAATGAGTATCTGTACATTTTGTTGGATTACAAGCAGAAATGCGCACAGTGAATATAAGCAGAGTGATCCTTTCACAGATACCTCCTGCACCACCTCATGCAAACAGAATCTCACATTTTAATGAGAGTAAAATAAGAGTCTGTTTACAGCTGTAAAGATAGGCCATGTTGCCACAAGTATTTTCCAAAATGTAGTTTAGGAAACATATCTACATTATGGATATCATTAGGAATTCTATACCATCAACCAAATAAAAGTCCAAATAAAGATAAATACATGTTCTAATTTTGAGATTCAGTCGAATGTTCTCAGTTACAGTTTTGGCTATTTTGACTTTATTTTTTTCAGAACTAAGTGATTAATTAAGAAGAAAAATATTTTCTGAACAGAAAAAGATAACTCTGGAATGGCTAATAAAGCCAATTACTTATCTTAATCAACTTGAACATTTTGAGACAGGAGCATTTTCACATGTTTACAGATTTTTTGGTTTACAGGAACCAAGTCACAGGKATAATCCCTACCAGGCTCAGTGCTCTGCATCAAAGTAAATGTTAAAGTGGCCACCTCTCTTTCAGAGCTAGAAATGCTCCCTGCTAAACTTTTCAAGCAGAGGCTGCCTATCCTTAAATGAAAATATGCCCAGACAGATGCAAGGTTCATCCTTGCCTGCTTAGGGGTAGTTTACTTAATCTTGCACACAATATTTTATCTTAGAAAAATGATCTGATTACCACAACTTTCAGGCTCTTTCCATGTCATGACTTGACAAATACACAGAAGAAGTCCCCCAGAAGGCTAAGTCACAAATCAGTCCTGTTTGTAAGAAGGAGATTATGACAAGGTAAGTCAGGAAGTCTACAAATGAAGTGAATTTCCTCCCAAGGGAGGACTGTTATCCTCTTGTTTTTCTAGAACTGTAAACTAACACCAMAAAACCCTCTCCTCTGATACTTACCAGAACTCCTTCTGCTTTCATACGTAAGATCCCCTATTTCAAATATATCCCATAAGCGGTGCCCTGAAAAAGGGCTGGGAAGAAGGGACTAGGTAGTTAGATATCAAACAGTCATATTACTATGGTGTTGGTGATCACTGTCTTGTCAAAATAATGTGACTTTGGAGCTGGAAGTAGTGCTCCAAAGGAACTGCATTTTATCCTTGAATCTGTAGATCAGGTATCAGTACTATCAGTCTGACKGCTCTCGTCCTGCAGGCAGATGAGATGACTGGCACCTTCTTGGGGAGCTTTCAGTCAGAGGAAAGCTTATTTTTTAATATGTTGGCTAACAAGAGCTGTAGAAGAAGCTGCAGGACTAAGGAACCGCTGCTTGATGAATACCATTCAGTAATATCATCTGTACTTTGGGGTGTCAAAACTATTCAAAGCATCGCCCTATAGTCTTTCAAAACTTGAAGTTTGGTCTCCATCTTAGCCCACAGCAGGTCAAAAGTCTCAAACAGCAGAACACCTCTAACAGTTTACACTACGTTTAGACCTGCAACCATTATTCCTGCACAACTCCGTACAACTACTGCAGCAACAGGAAAATGTGTTGCTTGTATCATGGTAATTGTTGTTACCTATAAYTTAGCTTGCAGACTCGACACCACATTTGAGATAAGACTGAAGATATCTGAGGCACACAATCTATTTTCACACTTTAAATYGCTAAAAATCATGTCTATATATGATTTAAGTCTTACAGACTTGCCCAGGAGATCTTCAGACTTCTCACTGTCTACATGGGTTTTGAAAATGAGATGGCAGTGGAGCATTTTATAGAGAGGTAAGGTTTTTTTCAACTAATTAGGATACATTAGGTAGGATTATTCTAACTTTAGTGTTCTACTACAAAGATGTATACATTTGAACTAATCAGTTCTACGAAACTGGCCTTTTAATAGCCAGGTTTATGTCATCCTAAGATAAACTTCTAAAATAGGTTAGACAAAATAAGCAACATGAGCAAGATCTGCTATGTATTTATTCTCTCAATATTTCCACAAGAAAAGAACTATGGCAACACAGCAATACTGTGGGTAGTTTGAGGGAGCTTCAGATAAGAGCTCCTTTGCTTACCAAGGAGCAAATGCATTTACATACATATTTAATGTATCATTTCTTTTTCCTGACTACTACTAATCAGGGACCCAGAAGCACATCTGTACAAAGCAAAAAGTACAGGTCGCAACAATGTGAGAACAGCCAAACTACTCAAATAAGAATCACATCGCTGTTAACAAAAAATGCCTCCTGAATGTGTAGAAAGAGGATAAGCAAATAGTGGCAGTTCCCGAGAATGCTCTCCCAACACTCCACAATCTGCCTCTTAACTTCCTGAAACATACGAGATGCCTTTGTCTGCAAAACCTCAGAGGATTTTTCTTCTATTACTTTGTTCGGTTATTTTGGAATCAATGCACATTTTTAGCACCCAGAAGATCCCAGGAAAAAAAAAAAAGAAAAAAGAAAAAAAATTAGACACACCTAAAATCATACAGCTCTTGCATTATGCACGTCAGCTCAGGGACAGAGCATGTTTCAGCACCCACAGCCCCATGAAAACAAAGTAATTCTATCTCCAGATGGGTGCCAATAATTACACAGTACTGCTCAAGTCAGCAGTGGTGGAGTGTATGCATCTCAAATTATTCCTGTGGCTATGCATGCACAAAGTATTTAGACCCTACTTTTTTGTTTGCTGCTTTTTAAAATGGCTTTTGACAGCTTCAGTTTTCACATAGTTCATTTTTAATTTGCAACAATGATTTGGCAGTCATATAGTCTAGATTTAAAAGAGAGTTATCATGTGCAGGAAAAGTGCAGTGCTTTGGTATTAAATATGCCCAGACTGTTGAGCCTTATGTAAACTAACAGTGGCTTTGGGATTTAAGCTGACAGTGAATCTGCAAAGCACTGAGCAAAAAAAAACCCCAAACAACGTTAACCATGGAAACTGTGCAGAATGCAGAATTTAATAACAACTTGTCCTGGAAAAGCTACATTGCACGATGATTTTAAAGATAACACCAGAGAAGGGCTACAGAACATAATACAAGAGGAGCTACAGAAAGATCCAAGGGAMTACACAGCACTAATTTCATTCTATAGCTACCTAATTCAATCTGCAGTGCTTTGTTATGACTCTTCCTGCTAGCTCTCACATGGGAATACAAAAGTGTAAAAACTGTCCAGCTGGATAATATCAAAGGTTTCTCTAGTCAAGTATATGTCTACAAATGTGACAGCAACAGATACCTGTGGAAAAACATAATAACAAGGCAACCACAGAGTGAGACATCTCCAGTGTGTTTCCCTAGTCTTCAGCAACTTGGGGCTCAAGAAATTCCCAAAAAAMCTAGACTATTTGTCCGTCTGACACTCTCTGTTTTTAGTATTCCATTAACTTCATAATCATTTTTCAACACATTAAAGTCCTATGATAGGACTTTAATCATGTTACAGAAGGAGGACCAATTATCCTTTTTGAACTTTCTGTTAGATTTGACATCCTTGTTTTCACATTGAAAAAGAGGGGAAAAATAAATACAATCTCTGCTGAACTTTTGCCTTCTACTCATGATTTTACAGGCCACAGAACAAAACACACCTCTCCCAGCTGCACTTCTTCCAGACTGAAGTCCACACTCTCCTTTCTTAACTGGAAGATGCCCAATGCTGGCACCTCCTTTAAACTTTTCCCAATACCCTCACTTTGATATCCCACTTTGAGATGTGGGAACCAGAACTGCATACCGTATTCAAGATATGGCACAATATGTTTTTTAGTAACAGTGACTTCATCAATATATTTTTGCTTTCTTCTCTATTCTTTTCCGGTCATTCCTAAATTCCATTTGTTTACCTGACTAGTACTCAGCAATGAACTCTAATTCCAAGATCATTTTCATGAACAGCAATATGGAATATGTAATGTTTGGATTGTATCTCCCTCTATCACTTTATGATTTCTTACACTCAGTTTTATACACCTCATGCATTCATTCAGTATTGCCTTACCCCTTATACACCTCATGCATTCATTCAGTATTGCCTTACCCCTTGAAAATCTTCATATCCTATTTTCAACTTTACTGTCATATGCAACTTAGCATTAGCAGAAAATCTCATCATTCTATCCTTTTTGTGTTGTTATGTATCTAGCTCCTATTACTAAGAAAAAAGTAGTTAGAGTAAGAAATAGTACATAAAAATGAAAGATAGCCTTGTAATTTCACATCCTGTTAATTAGAGCTTTTAAACTTTACAGTTATGGTGAAATTCTATTTGTTTTTGTGGTTAGAAATCTGGATAACTACTAAATAAATTAAACTCACTAGCATTATTGAACTGTCACATACATTTAATGTGGTATTTCAACCAATAATGTTTGATACAGGAATTGTGAACCTCTCACAGCAACAGTCACCTTCAAAAGGAACATTTGTTTCTGATACTGAAAGAACTGGAGTTGAAAGTCCATTATGAGAAAGAGCACACATTGACAGAACTGAGGAATTATTTTGTGGTATTAAAGATACCACTACAAAAACCTGTTCAGTGCACTAACATGTGTAACTGAAAAGTCTTATTCATTTATGCATCCACTTATTCTATGCATATACATGTATGTAGGGTGCCAGAGAACATCTCTCTCTTGCTCTGCCCATTGGATTGACTTCCTTTGGTTCTGCACAACCTCCCSTTGTGGAAAATCCATGTGTAGAGCTGTGGAGAACAATACTGCTCCAAGCAGCTCTTCCAGTATCCTGCAGCACCTCACGTAAGGGAACAGGCTACACTGTTAACGATACGAATGTTCTAGTCAGGCACGTCCTTTCATAACTAAAGATGAATTACTGACATAGTGAACATTTCTAAGTGACTCAGATTACAGATCAATATACATGAATATACCTTTTCTCCAGGAAGACCAGCAACACCAGCCTGTCCTTTGGCACCCACTTCACCCTATAAAATAAATTATTTAGTTACAAGTTCTAAAACTTCTGATGCTGTTAACTACTGCTCAGATCACAGATCATTCATATCTGATTCCATCTAAATATAAATAAAAACTTGTACTTGTTCTGAACATTGGAATAAGTTGCCCAAAGATTGTTGGAGATATTCAAAAGTCAACTAGACACGGTCCTGGGTAATATGTTCTAGGTGACTCTGCTTGAGCAGGGAAGGATTGTCCTATTTAATCTCTAGAGAGATGTGATTCATAAGAAAAAATATTTTCTAACCTCTGCAAATTTGTTTATCATGCAAACGGATATGAGTGGCGCACAGGATAGGGTTCCATATATGTAACACCCAAACCATGCAAAATAAATACATTTTAAAACATTTATAATGTCAATTTATGTCCTCATCTGACAAATCTTTGCACATATACATTTCCTTATAAAGTAGTTCTGCAGATTTTAAGGGAATCCATTGGGATGGTAAGGCTAAATCAAGCAGATACATTCAGGGATTGTGTGTTCCTCACGAAGGAGGTTCAATAAAAAGACTCCTTTAGTCTAACAGCCGCAGGCACATGATACTTTGAAAYTGCATTGCTTAAACTCACTCCTTCCTCTTCCTGCCCCCAGAAAGAAACCAAACTCCAAACTGGAATCAGTCTGTGAGAAAATTTTAGTTTTAAGAGACATATCACTGATTTATCAGGAGATATACGCAGCTTTCCAGCAGCTACAAATCAGACTGAGACTTAAAAATAATTGAAGAAACCACCAAACATAAATACTGTTTAATAATGTCAAGTACAAGAGCTACAAAGCTTAAAAGAAAGGAAAGAAGCAAAGAAGGAAAAAAAAACAGAGGATACCAGAAGAAGATAATTAAGGCATTGAAATCAATTATATTCATTCAGTAAAAAAAGTTTGCACACTGGTAGCAATGGGAGAAAATTCTCTGGCAAACAGAAAATGTACAATCTTTTTCACAGTAATCCAGTTCTTTATGATAAGGATCTCATTGGTTTGAAAAGATTTAGCTATCAAATTCTTTTTCAGTAGAAAATGTTGCCTACATAAGCACAGGAGTTACAATTAAACAATAAATAATTGAATTTTAAAATAGGATGTACACCTGTCTTTAATGCCCAAATCCCAAGACACAGACCTGGAAAACTCTGCTCAGAAATTAGTCATCTAAACCTCACTAAATAAGAGTTCCATTTTTAAAACAGGACAGCCTTGGGAACTTTCAATTCTGATCCTCAGCATATGCAGGAACATCTTAGCATTTGGCACCATCCACAAACAGCCAATAAATCCATTCTGAAGTAACAACCCCTCTAATGATCTTCCCAAATGGGAATCATCTCATCAGCTAGGTCTCTTACTTAAGAGTAAGGAGACATGGATCCTACTAAGTTGAGTATTCGTGCATTTTACATGAGATAACGACTGACTAAAGTGCAAAACCATTTCCTAAGTTATAATCAGGTCTCTTCACAGGCTTAAAGCAATTTTAATTTACGTAATTACAGTACAATAATATCAGCTTGGCACCTTAGAACAAGAACACCACCACTGCTTTTAGCTTTAAAAAAAAACCTCACTCAAAAGAACTTCATAGACAGAATACCATAAGTATCTTTTCTTGTCAGTGTAAATATAATATTTCTGCTCCAAAATGAAGTTATTAAATTTATTTTTTTTTTTAAAGGAGAAATAAGATTGGCAAGGAGGCCCTAAAGTAGTATCTAACAACAGTATACGCAAAATCCCAGAGGGTCCATTATAAAATATTTCATGTATGGATAAAAGGAAGGATTTATAACATATTCCTCAGTGCTGCCTTTAGGCTACCTCTCAGCAGGTGCAGACTCACCTTGCTGCCTGCAGAAACTAYCCTGTGAAGTGCTCATCTCTCTCAGAATCACAGAATGGGGGAGGTTGGAAGGGACCTCTAGAGMTCATCCAGTCCAGCCCCCTGCTCCAGCAGGGACACCCAGAGCACAGGGCACAAAGTGGCATCCAGGCGGGTTTGGAAGATCTCCAGAGAAGGAGACTCCACAGCCTCCCTGGGCAGCCTGTTCCAGGGCTYTGSCACCCTCACAGGAAAGTTCTTCTTCATATGCAGATAGAACTTCTTGTGTTTCAGTTTGTACTCATTWCCYCTTGTCCTGTCACTGGCCACCACTGAGAAAAGTTTGGCCCCTTCCTCTCTACATTCTCTCCTCAGGTACTTATACATATTGATCAGATCTCCTCTCAGTCCCTTGATCATCTTTGTTCCTCTGTACTGGATCCCCTCTAGAAGCTCCACGTCCCTTTTATACTGGAGAGCCCAGAACTGCCCCCAATACTCCAGGTGYGGCCTCACCAGAGCTGAGGACAGGTGCAGGATCACCTTGCTCGACCTGCTGGCAACATCCTCCTGATGCAGACAGGATCCCATTGACCTTCTTTGCCACAAGGGCCATTGCTGATTTATGGTTCACTAGCTGTCAAACGGGACTCCCAGACCCCTCTTTGGGGAATTGCTTTCCAGCAGGTCAACCCATAATCTGTACTGGGTTGCACTTGTACTGGCTTGCACCTGGGGTTATTCCACCCCAGGTGCAAGACTCTGCACTTGTCCTTGTTGAACCTCATGAGATTCCCCTCTGCCCAACTCTCCAGCCTGTCGCCTTATACTCTGCTCTGGACTGAACTTCAGGGTGAGGCTTAGGGAGTTTAAAATTGCTTTTTGTCTCTAGCCTCAGGGAAAAGAATAAAATATCAAGTGCTAGGGTCAATAATCCTTGTTACCTTTTTCTAACAGCAGAATGGTATATGCTGATGACTGTCACCTGAACTTTGAAATATGCTGTCATTCTCATAATACTGTTGTTGCTTCTCCATAAATCTTATCCATCATTCCTTGCCATCAATTTCAATTTCATTCACAGAAATCATCACAAGTAGCTGCATCTGCACAGTCTGGCTGAAAGTGTCTTGGTTTATAACATATGAGCCAAGCAAATTGATCAAAACAAGCAACTCTCCACCCCAAAATTTTAATCCACTGACAAGAAATAATAATGATTAGGAGGAATATGAGGGATACTTTGTATGTCCTACACTTTTCAAATATTGGAATGATCCTTAATATAGGTAGGCTAAGTCAGTCCTATCTCAAAAGTGGAATAAAATTTTATGTGCATGTGAATGTCATAAACCCTCTGTAAAATTTTATGTGCATGTGAATGTCATAAACCCTCTGGTAGTGTGAGAGATGACGCAGGAATGGCCCCAAGTTACCTTATCTAATCACCAACAGAATGACTGCTATATCTATGCACACTCTGTTCCCTTATGCCACTGTCAACTATTTTAATACACCAGACCACTCTGCTACATTCATCAGTGTACTTTTACATACTATATACTCTAAAATTATACAGCCTACTACATGTGTCAGGAAGTCTTTAGAATACATGACTTACTAACTTGCTAGCCAGGGCATATTACACTGTTTTTTTTTTTTTTTTTTTCATAACTGTAAATGGATTCCCTTTTTGAAGACCTGAAAACAGTTATTTTCCATAGGATATGCCTCTCTCTCATAATTCTAATTTTAATAGCCACAGCAGAAAAGTACTATTTTTTCATGTTTTTTTTTTCTAATTATTATACATAACACGTTGTATAACCTATAATAGTATTACTGCACATTCATATAGACAGCCTGACAGGATAAAAGGAAAAACCAATGGGAAAATCATTTTTCATTKTCTTTTTTTGTGATTATTTGGTATTTTCCTTTGCTTCTGCAGATCTCAAAGTGCTTTACAGAAGGGAACAAGTATCACTTTCTCTTTTTTACATTCAGGATGCCTACAGTGCAGAGATGAGAGGAAGAAACAGGGTTATTGACCTCAAGGAAGTCCATAATAATCAGAATTTAATTAATATGATACAGAGGTCTGGTTCCCCATATTATCCAGTCCTTCCGGACAGAGATKAAATAATCCTAGTCTTCTATGCCTGTATGACTCTCCTAACCATTGGAAGACACTCTGTACCTAGAAAAGAACAYAACCTAACTAACAATTTCTAGAGACAAAAAATGAAGAAAATAGCTAACCAGCAGCAACCAGCAATCCAGAGAAGAATGTTTCACATCACCTTAGAAGATTACAAGAAACAACTACCTTCTCCTGCCAGAGAGAAGCAGTGAGAAGTTGTTAGTGTTTTTGAGACACAGGACAGCCACCAGGAAAAGTCGAATCATGTGAACGAGCTTCAGAGATGAAACTTTCCTTCTCAGGGTTATAAATTACCTCAAACTTAAAGAAGAGGATCAAGCTGTTAAAAACATGATAGAAATATTTCACTGTGGTCATTCAAAACCGCTCTGGTAAAAAAAAAAAAAARAAAAARAAAAAAAAGAAAAGGGGTGAGAACTCTAAATCCCCTTTACCACTTCTGGAAATGGACCAAAGGAAGCCTGTCATGCCTCATAATTCTGCTGGAAATGGGGAGAGAGAATAGGGAGAAGATATTCTGGGCCCCGATATCTACCTCAGGCTCATACAAAAGAGTAATTTGACTTCCCCACACAAGACTAATTTCACACACCYTGCCAGAACTGTAAGCTAGCCACAGGGAAATACATCCATAGCTAGTCTTGGTGTTACAGGTTATGAGACCTACTCAGTATAATAACCTTCTAAAATAGGACCATAAGCTTTAATTCTACTGTTAGGATTTTCTATTGTGGGTAACAACAAAATTAATTTCAACAGTGGCCAAGATATCTATTGAATAACACATTGAGGCCACTGCACAGTTTCCAGAGCATGACATCTTGCAAACAATGGGATAGCCACCACATTTTTGACACGGTTTATTTTGGTTATAAGTGGACCCCATAGAAATTCAGTAGGCTGACATCAAAAGAAAAGGTCGCTGTCAATTTTCCCTCATACTTTTCATAAGCTGAGCCAAATTCTTAAAGAGAGCACAGGCAGCAAATGCTTCTTCAAATGATAGTCAAATCTGTCAAACCGCCTTCCATCTGAAGTGGAAACAATTTTGCACATCTGACATCACTTGCAATATTACACTTGAGAGCACTTTGTTGCACTGATTCAGAGTGTTTCAAAAGCAATTAACCTTTGCATTTCTGTGCCATTTACATATTCAATGCACTGGCTGTAGAACTAGAAACTACATAYTGGTAGCAATCAAAAAATATAGAACCTATTTCCTTTATCATACGTTATAATTGCAGAATCACATACAGCAAGAATAATACAAAGCAAAATATTCTACTAGAGAGGATGACAAGTGACTACCGTTTAAGTTAACAAAAATCTATTTAAATGTCTATATTTGCAATTTAGGAGACAAAATAATTTAAAATATATTTACATTGTGATATAGAACTGAATTAAGCATGACACACTAATATATAATCTCAAGAGCAAAGTCTAGGAGGAATTTGAGAGGAGGAAAATATTCCCCATGGAGTTCTGTAGGTCAAAGCAGGGTCCTTTAAATATTGGGTCCCATTGCCCCTAGCAATCCCCCAATATGGAGACAGCCTGAGATGGGGAGGGGTAGCAAGAGAAACCCTAGAGGACCCAAGTCTGAGAAGAAAGTCCCACCATGGACATCATACACATACTAGCAAGGACCTCAGGGTGCCACAACTCTGTAACCTGCTGCACCAAGAGAGGCACAAATTGCCTTTCTTGGGATTCTGAAGAATACTGGAATGGTGAACATGATAGCAAAGGAAACATGGAGGTGTTGTGAAGACTAGCAAGGAAAACAGGTGGAAAGGGCAGTCAGACACATTCTTTACTCTCTAAGGTCTTTTATCACTGTACTATAAATATTTTCCTTGCGCGGCAATATATTGCATAAACTTATTTCTACCAGTCCTAAAATAGCCTTTGAAAAGGCTATTTCTTTAATTAAAATAAAAATGAACAAAGCATGCTCTAATAGCAAAGTAGTTCTCTAGGGTCTGCATCAATAGGCACTTCAGTGTCTGAAAACACTCTGCCTCTGGCTTTCTTGCTTCCTCTCATATTTAAAGCATTAACCAATGATCTATTAACATAGCTTAGAGTGGGTTATTACTATACTAAAATTTTAATTCTCTTTCAGTGTCAGTTTAAAACCTTCTGTCAGCTTCAGGTTTACCTAAAGTAAATGGAAATAAAAAGATATCATGCAATTACTTTCATAGCCTCTGTGATATAGGAAAGTAGTTTTTATATTCAATAAACATGTAATGATTCAAATTACTGTKATCCATATTCTCTTTCTGAAGTACATCTACATATTGAGAATAAAACAGGACGTTCATATTCTGATCAAAATAGACTGCTGAATTACAAAAAATGTATTTACTCTGGGGCTGATGTCTCTCTATTTTGCTGACTATGCAGAATGTGGAACCGTAGCCCTTGAGAACATATCAAAATATATTAAGTCACATGAGGGTTCCATCTGATGACTGTTCACTAGAACTTGAGAAATAGTCAGCTCCATTACTTGCCCAAGAAGAACGTTATAGTGAAGGTCACACAGAATATGTTTTAGGGATAACCTAAATTCTAAACCTCACTTCTGCTACCTCTTGGGTTCCATCTAATAGGAAATAAAAGCTATCAGATAGCCTAAAATGTGGATGCCAAGAGTTGAAACCAACAGATATCAAACAAAGCAGTTACTGGCAACTTTTTAAGTCTTAATTACTCAGGTGTTAAAGAATAGTAGATTGTCCCATTACACCCATAGCTATGGAATCTTCCAGCAGACATCCCACAGGGCAAACACTACCAAATCCCAATTTGCATGGGAAATTAAAGGGGCAGGGACTACTGTCCTTGAGGCAATTTTTTCCTATACAAAAAGGGGCATATGGTATCAAACTGAACAGTGAGACAGACTTGAAGCAAGGCAGATTTGAAATGAAGCAGCTCCTCTACCCTTGAACCTTCTCAAAGCCCATAGATATTTTGACTAGTAACTGAAGAAACGTCCTCAGGACGCCATAAAGAATGTATAATGGAAGGTGGCGTATACAAACCAGGAGGTCACCAACACAAATGGATTAATTTTGATCAGCAGTGCTCTTGTACATTTTAGAGAGATGGTTTGCCAGAGATACATCAATATTTACATGAAAGCCTGTTCTTGTGAAAACATGGCAAAATTTGGGCCCACGATACATCCCAGCCTCTGGCACAGACCCCATTCAGAGGTATGTAGATGAACTTTGCCAAGTGCAGAGGAATGAAATGGAAACAGCAGTCATGCTTTGTTCTGCTTATAGTTTAGATACACCACAGCAGACAAGACACAGTCTGATCTTAGGAACAACTACGTTAGACTGTAAGAGAGTAGCAAGCTTGGGGACTGAAATAGATGCTAATACTAATCTGTGTACATCGTTCCTACTCAATCCCACAACGATCAAATTCAGTAATTCAAAAGTAAATTCGGAGGTAATTCAGAGGTAAATTCAGTCATACATTTAAACAACGTAGCAATTGGTACGAGAAAAATACGAGATGGGGGGATGAGAATTGTCATGACAAACAACAGACTGGAATCATCTCACAAACACAGAATTTTCCAAGAAAGATGTTAAAAAAAAAAGAAAACAAGTAATTTACTTTCCCTTGGACTTTTTAATATACTTAGTTGGATGCTAATAATATGATTTAGAAGCAAAAGAAAAGAATAAAACAAGCTGAGCACAAGCAAGGTTAAGAATGAAGAACCACCGGGCAAATCAGAGAAATTCCCTTTGCTTTGAGACTGAAACCCTCACTAGCCTGGTCATCATCAAGATGCAGCCTATTTCTTATATAGCATACTCTGAAACATCTTCTCCAGTGGTCTTCAAAACCCGCCTGGATGCCACCCTGTGCCACATGCTCTAGGTGTGCCTGCTTGAGCAGGAAGTAGAKGGAGTAGATGACCTCTAGAGGTCCCTTCCAACCTTGAATATTCTGTGATCTATCCACAGCCTGTTCCTTTCCTTTGTATAAGACGGCAGTAAGCTATATATCCTATATATTTGGAATGGTTGCAGTATTATTGCTTGTCTCCTTATAACTATTGATAAAACAAGGCCATTGCTGAGGGCAAGTGTTCCTGAAACCTTACACAAGTGCAGAAAGAAAATAAGAAAATGGTACACATTCCTCAAAGAGCATGGCATTGCCTCCACTGTGRTAGGTACTATTCATTTGCTTCCAAAGGTCAAAAAGGGGGCCATTTCTGCAACCACATCATTACTRTGACTCAAGAGATGCACTTTTCTGTTGAATTGGTATGTCAAGAGATAGCACAGCCTGAAAGGTTGGGCTACAGAAATCATCTATGGGGGTAAAATTGAATAGTGCAATTCTAATCTTGGAAGTCCTTCAAGAATTAATGCTGCACAAAAAGAGGTAAGTCTTATTTCAGTAAGAGACAGAAGTGYAAGTCTACAAGTCTCTTCTGTTTTGAATTCTCTGGTGGTACCTATAAAATGACATTTCTTAAATGGAAGTTACTGAATGTTGAAAAAGYCCTATTGCAATATTTTTTTCCTTCATACTGAAAACAAGCAAATGAAAACCTAGCAAGTCCTGGTCAAGTCTATGGAAGGTTCACATTAAGCAGTTTTCTAGTAGCCCACCTCTGACTTTTAAGGATAGAGTCACAGCACAGGATTCTCATCATTAGCAGTGTACACACAGATACAAATACAGTACTGAAAAAACTTGTTAGATGTGACATTTTTCCTTTTTTTTTTTTTTTTTTTCAGAAGACGGCATACGAGGGCAGGGGGGGGCTGTTGGGGTGGGGAGAGCAAGACAACAAACAGGATGTGCCAGCAGTGTTGGATGTGCGTAGGGAGGTATATAGTAATTCATGGAACTCATGAGTGGGCCCCACATAGCGGCAGCTCCGAGCTGCCCAGCAGGAGGGCAACACACACAGAACCACAGACTGACCAACAAGAGTGTTAACCTGCGCACAAGATTTGAGAGAGACAATGTAATTGGTAATTTTTTTTTTTACCTTTTCACCTTTAACTCCTTTCTGGCCTGGCAAACCAGCTGCTCCTGGTAATCCTGCTTCTCCCTGTTAAAAAAAAAAAAAACAAAAAAGAGAGAGAGAGAGAAATCAGAACAGCAGAGGATCCAAAACATGTTAAAGATTTGTTTTTCCTAGTCCAGATCAGAAAAGTCCAATGACACAAATAAGTCAGAATAAACAGGGCACAAAAACATCAAGAGAAGGATTTAAAAAAAAATGCAGAAAATCATTCTCTCAAATAAAATCTCTTACATTAAATATAAGGTGATTAGAATAATTTTAATTTTTATAATTGATCTTTTTCTTTCATGTGTTCAAACCATGCAACCATATAGCTCTTTGCAACACTAACTTTTAAAATAATATATAATGTTTTCTTTTTTCATTGGGAAATAAACTATTACATTCAATATAATAAGATATTTTATATAATGTATATAATTAATTTAGTAATTATTTTATTATTTAATGCAATTATTTCATATAATAAGATATATATGTGATATATACTTATGCATTGGATTACATCACTTGTTATGATTATATTTATTCTTATTCATATATTTATCTACTGAAAAAATACACACGTTTTTACACCTTGTAGGAAATCAACACGAAGATACATTAAAAAGATACATTTATACCAAGATACATTAAAAAAAAATAAATAAGAAATCCCCATACTTTATTTGGGAGGCAGAAACATCTGTCTCTAGATTCTTGCTGGGTTTCTGGAAGAGCGTATATTTTGCTGGCAATAACACTCACTGGGGAAGAAGTGGTAACAAATAGCCTGTCGTCACGAGGGCACTGAAATAAAGTCAATATATTATGGTTTTTAGTCAGTTTTAACAGATAAATATAATCCACATCCTATTTCTACCTTATTTTATGTTTAATGCTACTATAAAAATGCCTTTACAAGTAAGTCACTGTAATTTTTCACAGAGAAAAACCTGTTGTAAAATGAAGTCTAGACATTTGATCTTTCTGTAATGAAGTCAATTCTGCCCCAAACTGATCTGACTGGCCCATGTCTTTCCTCTGAGAGAGCCCAAATAGAAGAAGAAACCCCAAAACTACAAGAAACAAAACCAGAAAGTGGCTATGTGAAGAAAGAGTCGATCCTTTCCCATTCTGAAGTATAAAATGTTAGAGTGAAGGGGGAGATGAAAGGAGGAAAACGATGAACTGTGTTGTTCTTTTTTATTTTGTTTTGAGCATATGCAGCTTGGAAAGAAACAAATAAAAAGCCTTGAAGCCAATACTCAGCTGTCTGGTACCCATGATTACTTACAGAAGCTCTGTGTAATGAGGTCTCTTGTGAGGTCTCTTTCAAGGTAACTCCCAGAAGATTTACATTTTTGTGGAAAAAATATTTGTATCTAAGTACAGATGCATTTGTATCTAAGTGTTTACATCTTTCCTTAAATTAATGAAAATTTAGCTCTTACAATCACCAAGAAAGTGATGAAAAAAATTCCACAAAATATAATGCTAGCTGTCATAAACAAGTTGTCCATTATTCTATTTACATCTTCAACACAAGTRTACATGAAATTAACACTGCTTTTATCTCTATAGCTGAATGAACATTTAAGATGCTATCAATAAAATACGCTTTTGATCTTTCTATGTTCATATATTTTTAACTGTTTTTATCACTGTGTCATGATCTCTTTATAAATTATAATTGTATTTTTGTGCAATTTTAAGTGGAATTTACAGAAAAAAACACTCATTTTACTTAGCCATGAGACTGTATATTGAAAAAGAAGTCTGCATTATTATCAGGAATATATTTTGAAATACATTTGAACAAGAAATTGCTACGTAAAATTGAAATTTCCTTTGATAATTTAGATCCACCCTCTCCTACTCTTCCAAGCACATATCAGTTGCCAGTTCACACAAAATGAACTGTTCCTCTCTTCTCTGGGCAATTTAATCCTTCCAGGAATCCTTCCTTCCCATTTCTTTCAAGAGAAGCTCAATTAGTCCTTTTGAAAACTACAGTTTGTTCTGATTGCAGGATAAGTGATGGTACTTTCCACTATCTCAGAAGAGTCTTCTTTTATAGATATTACTACCTGACTAATATTTTAATATATGCTTTTTCTACTTCTTTTTTTTCAAATGAGCCTAATTCAACAAAACTGTATTCTGTTTCTAGTATCTTCCAGTTTATACAGATTCATTCCATCAAAGCAAAGGGAAAAAGTGACTCCACTCAACCAAATGTATCCTTTATGTTAAACGATATATACACACCATATGCATTATAAAGATAAGAGTATTTGCCAATTACTTATTCATTGCTCCATATACTGAAATAAAGAACAGTCTCAACCCTTTCAGTCTTTCCTGTTCTGCGTTGCCATGCAAACTCTCTCATGTAATTGCTTTTCACCTATAATACTGTTCTAGTTATAATTGTCATTAAAATAGTCTATTCTATTATTTGAAGTCATCCTCTGGTCATTGTTACAGCTTCATTTTCTCTGATCTGAGACTTCCTCAATTACTAGTTAGATATTTACCAATGTCAAGAAATGCATTTAAAAAGTAATACTAACAGCTAGTGCTAAGTTTACAGACACTTTTACTCAAGTTCCACTATGCCATTTATTTAAGCGACAAGCAACCATGTGCCTAGCAGTCTACCATGACTCCTGGCAAACAGGATTCATTACAGGAAATTAATCTAAAGTTCCCTTTGCAACTTATTTACAGTTCTTTAATAAGAAACAACAAAATCTCTTTTACCTTCACATCTATATTTTAGCAAATAACTTACTAGATCTGCAGATATTTCACAACATGTATCTTCTGTTGCAAGTTTTGGATTACAATAAACTGTTATGCGTTGGAGTTCAATCTATTAAGAAACACAAAATAAGAGATTTATATGAGCTGTAAAAAATAATCTGTTTTGGCATGTATTTTCCAAACTTGGCAGCAAAAACGGACAAAATCCAGGACTTAACAATTATACAGTTCCTCACTTCAGGAACAAATCCTGCAGTATGTTTTTTTGATGTAAACCCCATTTTAGATGCTTTAGACATTAGATAAAATATTTCAGAATTAAATTTATCATTTTGTTATATTTGTGTAAGAATTTATTAAATCTTTGTGCAAGTTGCAACCCTCTGCACTGCTCTTGCTCGGTGTACTCCATAGGTGCCACATTCTGCATTCTCTGCAAATCGTCTTTTTGGAAGTGAACTCAGTGAGCTGCAATGAGCTGTGGAGTACAGATTTGATAAACTCTGTTTCACATTTACTGCTTTTCACTCTGGACAGACCTTTCCCTGAACATTTACACTTCTTTGCCACTATCTGGACAGCACCTGGATAGCAAAWATCACAAATTTTGTATATAAGAATTTTATTTTAGGGATTTTGGGGTGGTTTAGTGGAGAGGAACAACACCTAATTTTAAGTAGCTAATTTGCCCTTACAAAAGCCAGTTAAGGAACCTCACTGACTTCAGTCACTCACACTAATGTGTAGAGGCCTCGTTTCAAACAACAGCTTTGCTAAAATATGCTTCTTTTTGCATCTGTTTTGTATTCCTTCCACATATTTTTCTCCCTTGCGCTGGGTATTGAGGAGAATGAGTGGTGGTAAAGGATCTGCTCTGCTTCCTTCACCAGTTTTATGCCAATATTGTTATCCGCCAAATGGGGAATTCTTGACTGGCAASATCCACTCAAGAGTTATCCATTCGGAGTCATATAATCAACACAAGGCAAAAAGGATCTGCTCCTTATCCTATATGTAGCTTGGTAATAATTAATGATACACACATTTTAAACATAATCTCAATCCTACAGAGTAAAATGAAATATGAACTTGGCTCCATGAAGTCAATGACTAGGTTAATAATTTGGATGAGTTGAGGCCAAAGTGCATAAGCACCCTACAGGACTGATCCCTCTTACAATGCTGCCTTGTGATTATAATAAGCTATTTTAATCTTAAACTGTGCAGTGAACAGAATACAGTTGAAACTTTCACATGGTCACAATATACATTGAGCTAGAGGCTTTAAAACTGGTAACTTGATATCAGTATATTTAAAACAAAATGACATTTCCCGCAACTTTCATTGCTCTGAGCTCTTTATACAAGGAAACATAAGAGAATGCTTCTGGAATAGAATATAGCCCAGAATACCAAAAGCATCATTTTTGCTGTGGCTGAGACAACAGATTTTTTGTTGTTGTTTTTTAGGAATGCTGCATTACAACTTAGTCTACCTTGCATTTGCATTTCATTATGGAAGAAGAGCACATCTTGCTCTGTTACTTGTATGAGAAGCTGCAGGGAACTCACTTCCAGCCATCTCCCAATGCCTCTCAGCTGGAGCGGGAAGCCACAAGTACAGACAAGAGGTCCCTGTTTCGGCGTGGCTGAACCGCCCTGGCTTCCAATGCCACCTTTATAAATAGCTGATACTTTTTTTTTTTTTTTTTTTTTTTTTTTTTTTTTTTTTTTTTTTTTTTCTCTCCTTTAGCAGAGAGAAACAAATTGGTGCAAGACGACAGATAGAAATTTGCGTTTGTCATTCATGTATTCAAATCTCAAAAAATTGAAAGATTAACACAAGAAGTTATATTTAAATGTATTAAGAATYTACAAGAACTATGTCTGTCACTCCAAAGCGAACAATTTAGAATAAAGATTCCTGAGACCAGGACCTGAGTTTTTGCAGTCCTTTGGTAAGGGTGGGCTTACCTTAACAGATAGTACAGATACTACTACAATGAATATCGCTCGGAGGAGAAAAAGAGAAAAAAAAAAACAAGAAACCAAGAAACTAAGGATAGCACATTAAGAATAGACATTCAGAATTAATAACTAGTTATGAACTTCATCTCCAAAATTCCTTACAACAATGTCAGTAAAATGTGATTTCCAAGTCATACAATTTTGTCTTTATACTACTCACATCTACTGGTTTATCATCTGCAGCCCGAGATGCAATCAGAGTCCTTCCCTGAAAGTCAATGGTGAATTTTTCATCAGTCTGCTTTCTCTCAATTAAATTACAATCCAAATAGAGGGAAATGATCCCGGGCTGCACGCTAATACCAAGTTTATGCCACTGCCGATCAAACAATGGATAGATTTCTCGACTCTTAAAAGTRTAGTGCAGTATATTTCCCTGAGCAGATTTAGTCATGTACTCCACAACTTTTTTTGCACCATCTATAAGGACAGAGATCTGAAAGCAAAATAAAACAAAAATGTGGTTATTTACAAGATAGAATAGATGAATGAAATATATATAAAACCAGATATAATAAAAATAATTTTACTGCATAGATTGGGTAAGAATTGCAAAGCATTCTTTTAGGTAACTTTTTAAATACTCATCAGCTGTAACCATAATACGCTTTCTCTTCTAGCACGTTGTATTAGTCAATATAGTTTAATTTCTGTAATCCCTACAACAGCTACTTCAGAGCAGTCTATTCTGTGTAAACTGCAGCTAGATCCACTGATGAAACTCTCTATATTTGTATTATTACTATAAAAAAATTAAAAGAAAAAAAATCAAATAAGCCTCTAACCTCAGGCGTGTCATACTGATTTAGAATTTGCCATATATACCACCGCTCTTTCTTGGTGCTTCGTCGTACACGGAACGTTGCTATTAGAGAATATTCTTCAGGAAGACCCTTCGGAAATACTTGCCTACAGAAGGGAGGARAAGAGAGTTTTCTTTATTCTTATACAGACATAAACAATGTTTAAAAGATGGGGACAGAAATAAGKTGAATACAAGGAAACAAATATTCATTCTCATACAAATTCACTAGCTTCAGTGCTCAAAAGTGTCTCTTGTCACTTCTTCTAACTGAAAAATACAATTCTATCTGAAAAGCACAATCTATCTGCAAGAATAAACAGTGAAGGATAAAAACTTCACTAAGATTTTTTGCATTTTAATTTTTAATACTTAATTACTATCAATAGGAATCTTAAAGAACTACTGCAAAATGAATGTCATAGATAAGTATACTTGAAACACTGCTTTCCTCAATTTACTGCTTTGAATCATCAAAGAAACACCCTCTCTTACAATTCCATCTTACAAGAGAACACATAAAGATGAATTTTCTGTAATGAGCAGAAACAGCTCAGAGAAGCTTCCTGGCTGACAAGTAAAACGATGAGGATGCAAGGATGGTGGAAGGGAATAGAAAAGACAGCACATCAGAGACAGACTCCAAAAGAGCTATCCCCCAGTGCACAGGGTTGAGAGYGCTGCCAGCAAGCCAGCTGTGGCAGATTATCCTGAACTCCATGGAGAGTCACCTCTGCATTGCTCGGAAGAGGAGGAGAAAGAGGAGAGTAGAAGACAAGTTGCTTTACTTTTTATGTTGGGCCCTGTACTGGAGTAGCTATGCTATGAATATTATTATTCGCATAGAGAAGCTGGTTGATGCCACTTTATGGTCRTTATCATCTGTGAAAGGCTGGAAAGTGCATGAAAGGCTCCTGAAGACTGAAAAGGCTACAATAGTATCTTTAAATGGGTAAGCAGGAATATTTACAGAACTAGAGGCCTCACCTCCATCCTTGGGAACAGCAATTCGCAAATCCTGCTGAAGCCATTTCCAGGCAGAATGTGAATAAGAAGGTGACTGGGAACAGCTAGCAGGACTTAACCAACCGATTGCCTTCCGTGATGAGGTGACTAGCTCTATGGACAAATAGAGAGCAGTAGCTGCCATTCAACTTCATATAAGCAAGGCCTTCAACTCTGTTCCCTAAAGCATCCTTGCAGTCAAGATGGGAATCAAGGGCTGGACTACAGGATGTTTAGAAAACTAGCTGGAGGGCTAAGCTCAACGGTAGTGCTCAAGAGTTCAAAGCCCAGAAAGCTGTAGGTGGGGGTACTCCTCAGTACCCAGGTGGGTAGGCAGGGTACTCCTCACAAGTTAAAATTAGGGTCAGTACTGTTAACATCCCTGATGACATGGACAACAGGAAAAAGCAGCTCAAGCCTGCTCAAAAAGCAGCTCCACAAGAAAGGTGCTGGGGGGTTTTACTGGACAACAAGTCCATCTTCAGCCAGCAAGGAGCTCTTTAAGTGAAAGGGGAGAACTGCATCCTGAGCAAGGGGGCAGCCGTGTAAACCAATGTATGGTCTTCAGGAAATAACCATAATTTAACCATGTGCACTTTTCTCATTGCTTCCAAGATAGTTTCCTCTAACATCCTGAAAGTAAGAAACTAGGGGGGACTTCTCTCCTTTCTCATAMTGCTTGTCTGCATCTCAACTCTTGTCCTATTTCCAACTGGTTTAGTAGAACAGTTAAGAAACAAACTTTTATATGATGTGCACTAACACAGCCAAAACATTTTAGAAAAGATTCTTAGAGAAACATTCAAAATTTTAAAAGGAAAATAATATTATTTGTTTAGATAGCGCTTCAAGTTTCAGAAAGGATTAAAGTAATAGGAGACAACAAAAATGTGTTGAACTTATTATTAGAATATGTAAGAGGTCCAGAAAGTTCTTCAAGTTGTTTTGCAGATGCATCGTTTCAGTCACACTTCCCCTCCTTTCATTTCATAAAGGTTTTGGATTATTTCTCATCTACTCTTTTAGTCTAGCCTTCTCCCATTAATGTAAATTCCCACTTGTCTTCAGCTATGAAAGTCAAGGAAATTTAATTCGCCTTGGACAGCTACTTGGATGCTTCCAGATACACTACATGGGTTACAGTCATAAACTTGAAGTGAAATGCCTTTGCTTGTGTGAGGTTCTGTAATCTATACAGCTAGTCCTACCTCCAGATAGTTTACAGTTCTGCACTTGCATATTGCTGGTRTTTGATGAAGGTATTTTCTGTATAAATGCATTCTTTATAAACATATTCTTTAGTCCCTCATTAATTAAAATATCAAATAGGATGGTATCTGGATCCAAGTTCTGCAAAGCCCATTTACTTCTGCATTGCCTTTTGACACTGAAATACCTGTAACTGTAATAGAGCATACAGGTCCACTAAGGACATGGGAGAGCAGCCAGTTCAGTTCTGTGATAAAACAGGAATCAGCTCTTGGACATAGGCCAAAGAAATGATTTCTACACACAGGATTTCAGTAGGAGTTATTCCACAGAGCTGCTTTTTAGCAGGATTACAGCAGGCCTCTTTACAAGGGGGTCTTTCCTGCAATTCCAAATTAATTGAAGTGCATTGACTTCAAAGAGGGTAGCAGAGCTTTGGTCTTGTCAGCTGATGCTTTTCTCCTTTCCCTTTTTTTTTTTTCTCTCTTCTTTTTGATAAAATCTTTGTAGCACATCAGTATGTAACTATAAACTCATCTTTAGTTATATAGAAATATAATTTTTACTTATGTCAGGGAAAAAAAAAGAGGGAGGGGTTTTTTGGTTTGTTTGTTTTCCCTACTACTTGGGGCTCTAAAGTTTCCTCCATTCTGCTCCATCGAATGTCTTTTGGAACGCGGCTAGTTCGAACTGGGCAACCCTGACACTGTATCGCAAACATTACTTCCTGCATGAAAATTTCCCTGTTATCCCTTTGCAAGCTACTGCTGTTTGCTGCAGTTTCTGTGTCTGTGGCTTTCATTCATCTCGCTCTCTGAAAATGAATAATATGGGATGCAGAAGCTTCAAACAAGAAGGTCAATAGCATAATCCAATTTCAATATAGAAATAGTGTCTGTTTAATGATTACCAGAGACTCTAGAGTTGATGGCTTTTAATAGCATTTTCTTTTCCTGAAATTCATACCTTTTAAATAGTGGGTGTTAGGTGGATAATACCACCTAAAAGCAAGTGATATTCTGACACATTATGTGGAGCCAGGTAGCAAGTCAAATATTTTTAGAGACATAGACATGTAATCATTTAGAGAATAAAAGAATTTTAAAGATGAACATAGTTATTTGTTTTGAAACACATTCGTTCAGAAACACATTTTGCTCAAGTCTGACAAATTCAAATCAATCTAAAACTCTAGACATGCAAATCACTCATCCTGGAGGTCATGACTCAAATTCCTTCCCAAAACAAGAGCAACTTCAAGGTTAGATCAGGTCAGTACGAGCCCCATCCAAGTGAGTTTTTAAAGTCTCCAAGGACAGAGATTATTTCACAAATCTCTTGACAACTTGCTCCAGTATCTGACCACCCACACAGTGATTTTTCCCCTCTCATTGCAATTGGTGCCCATTGTCTCTTGTTCCAGATTAAACAAGACCAGCTCATTCACTTTCTCCTCATATATCATGGCTCAGGTGGTCTAGTCATCTTGGTGGGCTTCTATTGGGCTTACCCCACCAAATTGCTCTCTCCTCTCCTGGAAAGCCTCAATCTGGACATAGAACTCCATATAGGGTCTCACTGGTGTCTAATAGGAGTAAACAGTCAGTTCCCTTGACCTGTTAGGCAYACTTTTGCTCATGCTGCCCCAATGCAGTTCACCTTTTTCACTCGGCAAGAACACCTTGCTGACCAAAGATTAGCTTGTCACTAGCATGGCCCTTTCTGTAGAGCTGCTTTCTGAGCAAGCTGGTGCCCAGCCTGCACTGTCTCATTCCTTCTTAGCTGCTGGACTTTGCAATTGCTGAACTTCATGAGGTCTTTGATAGCTCATTTTTCAAGTCTGTCAAGGTCCTTCTAAATGCCAGCCTTATCTGCCAACATACTCACCATTAGCAATTTAGAACCTAAAATATGTATTTCAGATTATATTCTGAAAACACTAGACACACTACAAAGAATTTCACCTTGTTTAATGAAGTTACCACAACAGAGGTGAAAGTGAGGTAAACAAATGGCAAGTCATAGTCAAATAAAATAATGCAATATATTAGGCTTAACAGCAAACCACCAGCAAAGAGCACAACTACTCTATACCAAAGACTGAAGCATTCTGGAAAGCATTCTCAGTGCATAACCAAGTGAACATTCCCTGGTGAGTAATTAATGGAAAGTCATTAACAGATGCCTTAAAAGATGTGCTTTACATTCAATGCCACCAGCCAGATGGTGACTGCCCTAAAGGAAAAATACTCAAAAAACTACATACTAGATACTATTATACATATTTTCCCCWATGCTCTTGCTCATTCCGAATGGTTTCAAGTGAATATAATAGAATGAAGAACCTTAAATTGACATAGGTAATCAGTAATATATTACAACCGGCTGCATAGAGTAGAAGTAACCATTTTGTAAAGTTTGGTCAAAAAATCCACAGAACTGTACCTAGTATGTCTATGTTTTAAATAATAATTATTAAAAGATATTTCTAAAAAAAACAGTAACAAGTTGACTTAAAACCTCATGATATACTGTAACATGGTAAAAAAAATTTAAAAACCCTCAAAATACTGAATTTGGAATTTAGAAATTCTTGGAATGTTTCAGTTTGTTTGATCTTCCAATATGCAAAGGGATCTTTACAAAAAAAACTCACAAGACATTACACATAGAGTGACAATTAATGGTAAAGAAGCTGCGCTAAATATTAACCCCCCARAAATACAAAATCAATTTGTTCCCCATGTCCAAAACTCAGCAAGTACTTCCCCATAGCCTATTTACCCTTTCCATGTGATATAGGAAAAGTGCAAGAGGAAAATGAAAGAATAAAGTTAGGAGAGATGATAAGGCTGAAGGAAAGTTTTGCCAAGCTCACTTCAAAGTCTATAGA